TATCTTCTTACATTGTACAATGTACAAATTTCATACAAAACTTCCAGACAATTTCCCCCAGATTTTTAATATATTTTTATATAACGCATTTTTGGTAGAAACTATTACATGTCAGGAAGCAGGAAATTTCACTGAAAGTCTAATCCTACACCTAAAACATTTCCATTACAAGTCCTGTTCATATAAGCCGAGGCCCTGTATGTGTATAATTGAGGCTCTTTGCCACCTTGTTGAAACAATGGTAAAACTGTAAACCTCTAATTATTAGGAGCAATATCAGAGTTCTCTTTATTGAGCCTGACAATCAGAGCTTACTCAATAAGACAGCAAGTGTCTTGTTTCATTATTTTCAACAGTTTAGGCTGTTCACTGTGCTTCATTTTCACAAGCTGCTGTTATAATGAAGCAAAAGGGAATTAAAATTGTTTTTTAAAGTCATCTGATTTCTAATGTGCAGTTTGGGACTTTTCAGAATGATATGTCACCTTTAACCATGAAATTTCTCATCATATGGTCTCATTTCAGTTTACATTTGTAGTCTACACAAACCTGAGGAGAACAAAATAATTACTGCTATAAATGATTCTGTGTTTTTATTGAATCTTCAAAAGGAAATATTCCTATTCATCCAAGTATTTTTGTGTCTTGTTTTGAGTGCTTAAAAGGATAATCCAGTGACATTAGATTTAGCCAAATTTTATATAAACCTTTTACACAAAACTGTCTTTCTGCATAGATGCAGGTGTGTTTGACATATCATTCTGCAAAGGGTATGAAGCAGGCTACTTGTGTTCCCTGTTTTCCTGCTGTAAATTCTTGTTGAAGTGTCTTCATTAGTCTATTTTTACTGTTTTCTTAGGCAGTTTTCCCATAACGATCATTAAATTTTATCTAATCAGCTATAGCTGCAAAACATGAGGGAAGTTAAACCATTATTATTATTTTTTAAATAAAGATTCCTGACTTATTATGGGATGCCACTATAAAACTAGTTATAAAATAGACCAATAGGAGGTCTACCTATAGGTTTTAAATGTAAACGTGACAGTAAGCTGTGCAGGATTGTAATCAGCAATTTTACTAATGCAATAAAAACCCATTGCCAATTAAGGCACCCCCCTTCTCTCCCTCACTCTCTCTCTCTTTCTCCCTCTCTCTCTCTCTCTCTCTCTCTCTCTCTCTCTCTCTCTCTCTCTCTCAATATGAAAGCCCCTCGCTGACTTTGCCCAAAGGCGTTGTCTATGGTTGCCGGCTGTGCGTGATGAATCGTTATCTCCAGGCCATGTTGCTCGTCTGGGTAATAAAGTACCAGCAAAGCGGAGACAATAGGAATTTGTCACAGTTGCCTCCCCGATATATTATCGACCTACTGGTCGGTTTAGCCTTCATTTGGGGGGCCAGGGACCTACACACCAAATTAAAAAGAACAGAAAAACTAAGAGGCAGAAAAGGGAAAGTCACGCATGTAAAGTCAAGTAATGAGCCATTAAAGGCTTAGTGTCATTTAAAACAAAAAAGGAGGTAGCTCCTACTACCGATATGAAACTACCAGTAGGCCCTATTATTCATTTCTTGTTTCCTTGGAGGTTACCTATCATTAATGTTAGTTAATGAATGTGTATGGCTACGTATAAGCCTATCCTAATTATACTTACGCTTTCGAACGCCCTCAGCCAATCAGAGCTGTGGATTATATGACTAGTTTTAAAACATGTAAGACTTGTACAGGTAATCAAACATTTCATTTAGACACTACATTTATTTAGACAAGGTTATGTAGGTCTGTGCTTATGGGATATTTATGTTACTTAAAATTAATTAGATGCCAAACGGATGCAGTTTATCCATTGAACAGATTAAACTCAAGATTACATGTCCATGCCTAGTGAAATGGTGGAGTAGTTACTTATTCAGAACAACCCAGTATTTCAAAGTCTTCCATTAAAAATGTTATGGAATGTTAAAGTGGAAAATATTATCAGTAGAATGTAGGCTACTTAAATGAAAAGTAAAAGTACTCATTATGCAAATACTCCTTCTTAAAATATCAATTTAACATAATGATTGTAATTTTATTAATGACATGATGATGTGTTAGAAGTCTTCTAATGTTGGGATGGACCAATTTTTTAAATTATATTTCATGTGTAATCCTTCATATCTTATAAGATGCAGCAAAGTGACGAGTAACCACAGTTCTTGAGCCAATATACTTTCCACCACTGAGCTAGTAGCTTACAGTATTATCATTATTGAGACGCTTAAGTCTGTTACTGCTGTTGCTGATGCTGTTAACATTGTTAGATGTTGTTTTGTGTCATTAGTTTGTGTAAAGCCTCTTTGTTACTGGTCAATGGTTTTTTTTCCACAGTTCATAATGGAAAACGCTTCCTTGGTGTGCTTGGTGTTCACTAAAGCTGATGATACACGGGGCAACGTTTTGAGCAATGTTACTATTGGCAATCTTGCTAGTGCCAAGTCGGACTATGTTTTGAACGGATAGCAGCGGTGCGGGGTGGGTGGTGGAGTGGTGGGGGAAGGGGATTACGGTAGTAATCTTAACTCATTACCATTGACGGCAACGTTGCCTTGCACGGTTACTGGGGTGGTGATGGCGCAATGGATAAGGCACATGACTTTGGTCATGTGAGCAGACCCAGGTTCAATCCCCCACCAGTGTGTCCCTGAGCAAGACACTTAACCCCTAGTTGCTCCAGAGGCATGCGACCTCTGCCATGTATAACAATTGTAAGTCGCGTTGGATAAAAGCGTCAGTTAAATTTAAAAGTTGCTCTGTGTATCATCACCTTTAGAGTTTGTAAAGAGACAATGGTGAGGGGCCACTTTGAAAGAAGCAAATTATGTTTCTTATGTGTGTAAATTATGTGCAGTGATGTGACGATACAACAGTGCAGATCCTACATAAAATAACCTAGTTCTTTCATTGGATATTGTTAAATGATTCTTCACTTCTCTTTCAAGAGCTATTTGATGACAAAATATTTGGCCTGCTTTTGCCCACTGAAACACCAGGAGAACGAACTGATATTTAATCCAAAAATATGAATGTTTGTAGCAACAATATGTGCATGCATGGTTAAATTCCCTAACATGGTGTCAGCTAGTTCTTGGTGGAGTCTTGTCTACATTTTGGGTTTCAAAAAAAAAAAACATTGGCAAAAAGCACACCAGACAGTAGGGGCGTCGTAATGGATGTCTAGCCGCTAAATTGTCCGATAACGGACACATTTAAATTGACAGCTGAAATGATCCCAGACTTGAGGAGGAAAGACAAAGCTGCCTGTGCAATCAAGGATGTTGGAGATTAGTGTGACGAAGCCTGTCATCCTCCTCCCTCCCAGGCCCTGTTTGGCTCTCTTCTGCTATTAGGTTGAATTTCAGACAATACACCCAGAAAAAACAGGGTTCGATGGTTTAGAAATACTGAGGCCAAATACCCACATTGCCCTCAACCCACGCTTCACACCCCAAAATGTTTTTCAAGTTTATATGTTTCATATATCATTTATTTGTTCACTTAACTTAATGGTTCAGTTATGTATTATGTAAGGTTCATCCCCAACCTTACATAAAGGTCTAAATGCACTTTCAAACACATTTAGAACCTGTTAGGTGGAATTATTGATCAGAAAGAATTCATTTTTGTGCTGTCACCTTGGTACCAAGATATATAGAAAAACACCATCCTGCATTGCCAGGGTCACAATTTAAAGAATCTCCTCCTAGTGATTAAAAACCAGCAGGCCAAGTCAGGTAGGTTTTTTGATGAGCACATAAATGTTACATAAATGTTAAAAAGACTTACATAACTATGTCTGATGACTACTGTGTTGTATTGTTCATTTGCAGCCCAGAGAGTCACTTTGTGGTTGTGAATCCTTGATAAGTGTTTTCATTAAATATACATTCAGAAAGGTTCTCCATCATGGTACCAACCCAGCAGGATTCTACAGAATGAAATAATTCTGCAATGCCAACACACTACTTGCTATGATCCAAGTACTATTTTGTGGTTCAACAACTACAAACCTTTTCACTGTGAGTGTAGACTCCATGGTTCTCTAAAATCATTGTAAACAAACATCAGTCAATCTCTTGTTGCACAACTGTTTTCCCACATGCCCATATGTTTATTCCCCAACACTTTTGCAACCCTGATGAGGGCAGAGAATCCCAAAAACCTTTATGGGAAATAAACTCATGAGAGAAGAGTTGTGCATATTTCATTGATCTGCTGTCTCAACCAGAACATTAGCTGACAGTATAGAAATCTCACATAAAATTTGAACTTATTTGTACAAAAACAGGGCATGTTGTGTTTTCCAGTTGAAAAGACTCATGGACTGGGCCATCTGATTTAAATGCCAAAAACTTAGGCAATCAAATAAAGAGATGTGGTGTCATTTTTAGAGAAAAATACAATTGTGTAGTTATGTCAGAAAATACTCTTTTCAAATTCACTTTCATTTTCACTTCCAAAAAAAAGTTAGTGTATTTTTAACCTTTCTTATCATTTTCACATTTCTGTTGCTTGTCCTGATGTCACCATGTCCCTACTACTCAATAATTAAGTGGCTGAATCCAATATGGTATATCATAACCACTTGCAGTGATTGCATAAAAAAATACTATACTATGGACTTTCCCTTAATAGCCATAATACCATGTTACAATTAATCACCAGTGAATTTCTGCATGCTACCAGAAAGAACCGTTATTTATGCTGTTGCAGCCTGTGAAACCTCTTTTCTTGAGAGTGTGCAACAAGAGAATCACTCTTCTGTAGCATCAAGGATATTTTGCTCAGCCTGTAGGTTTGCTACACCCTAAAAAAGAACCATTCTGAATTGTGGCACCCTTGTTACTGAGAGTGTGGAATTACATTATTCTGCATTTGGAGGGTTCAGTCCTTGACTCTTCGCCTCCCCTCAGGGGAAAACCTGGCGCCTCCTGCTCGGATCAGACGACTAGAAACTGGACGGAGTGGAAAGGAGGAGAGGGGTGGAGGGGTGGAGGGGGGGAGTAAAAACAGTGAAGAAATCGCTGAAATGCAGGCTTGGGACAAGGAAGATGGAGGGATGTCATGTTGCTGCACTTAGCGTTACAGGCCTCATAGGTTCCAAAAAACACAGGTAGGCTAATTTAAAGTGTTATTAGTATTATTACTATTAGAAGTAGTAGTAGTAGTAGTAGTAGTAGTTGTTGTTGTTGTTGTAGTTGTTGTAGCAGCTAGAAGTACTGATGTATAGCCTACGTGTAAAACATAATTTATTAATATTTAAAGTGTTTAAAAAAGGTAAAAAGTGTATCATTCTAAACTTTTTCCCTTGTCAGTTCAGTGTATCTGGGAAAAAATCGACTCAAAAAAGTAGAATAAAACCATCATTTCATTACTCGACGTCAGATTTCTCGACTTTATCTTTTCCTTAAATGCAAACCGATTCATTTTGCTCTTCCCAGCTGTTTGCCTCAGATAAACCTATCGATTAGACATCAGTTAGATTTCTAGCCAGGGCTTTATTGAGTAAGTTGGTGAACCTTAAAGTGAATTACAGGAACTGCTCTGCCCCTCCGGTGAACTATTTAGTTGAATCTAATTTACTTTGATAAAGACCATCTATTTTATTTACTCTGATCGCCATTTTCATCGGGGGTTTATTGTGAGACTATGAGCGCAGAGTTTGTGGAGAATTTTTGGATTCTTTTGTAGGTTTAAACTGACGACTGGCAATGTCATCTGTAAATTTTTTGTATAGAAAATACACTTATTATTATTATTATTATTATTATTATTATTATTATTATTATTATTATTATTATTATTGCATTGTTGTTATTCTAATAACAGCCAACAGTAGTAGGTATTTAGATTCTAGCTATATTTTGAGTCAATTAAGTCAATGCCTGCAATAAAGCCATTCATATTTTCTCAATCAATACTCTTTAACCAATCAATAAAATCCACAGACTAGCCATCATCATTTTAATAAGCATTTGTCTTTTATCTGCAGGAGTCACGAAATTTTCGTCCAGAGCTGCAGGACTGCTGCAAGATGCACCACTACAGATGTTAATTATTTGGATGTCCTACGTCCTGCTTAATTATTTGGATGTCCTACGTCCTGCTTAATTATTTGGATGTCCTACGTCCTGCTTTGTTACAAAATGTAAATATATGTTAGGTATTTTTAACGACCAATAATGGTGTTTTCAGGAATTACAACCCTAACCCTATGTATGTATATGTATACTTTTATATAGTTTAATTTAACCTGGATCTTTTATAGGAAATGCATGTTTTTATTTTGCATGGATATTTTGATATAGCCTACGAACCTTTGATTTAGCCTGATGATAACGTTTTTTATGTGTCACATCTTGTTCGCTCAAAAGACAGCACCAGTTTTGTGCAAACTGCTTTGATAAATTTACAGAAATAAATCAAAATAATTTGGGCGTTTGGGTAAAACTGTGGTAAATCTCTACAAGACAAATAATAACAAAAAAGGGCTGCCCACTCTGTTTATCCTCCTCTCCACCCCTGATTCCACAGTCTAAAACCGGGCTGCTCTGAGAGCCTGTTGTACACATGCGTCGTATTTAAGTGTAATTGGCCGTATCATTGGCTTTTGTCTTGTTTACAAAGCTTGCAACAGGAGCAGTAATTTAATTTCCTCCGCCGCATTGAAGAGCCACCAGCCGCCTGTCAGGCCGAGCTCAGCCTCCCCAACCCCGGGCAGCGGGCAGGAGACTGGCTCCGGGCGATTCTGGAGAGGGAGGAGGGGGAGGTTGACATCTGCCTCCAAATAAAAGTGTACATGAATGATATCCTGGGATGTAATGGAGGGTAAGCCCATTCCTGTTTCTATGGGTTAGCGGTTATAAAGCTGTGTAAAATGTAATAGTATTCATTAATCAGTAGCCTATTTTCTAATCATTAATGAAGAGGCAAACTGAAGAAGGTTGTGTCCCTTGTCATCATATTCTTAATACTTCCATTCATTCATATTGTATGTAATTTTTGAGTTGAGTTTTATTATGTTTATATATGTTTATAATCTAAATATATCCATTTTTTCCCACATATTTTAATGCCTTTGTTGTTGTTGTTGTTGTAGACTGGTGTTTATTTTTTGTGTGTGTTTTCCTTAAGCATTCTATTTGTTGCAGCAACGATCTCATTTGTCCACAGTAGTCAGTAAAATTCCATTTTATTCTATTGTCAGGAAAAAGACAAATAATTTTCTGCAAATAGCTTGGGTGATTTTTGTATGGTTTGTTATTTAGGGGATGATGATGAGCCACTGTAGGTCATACATTTTAATCTCCTTTGAGGGCCAAGAGACTTGCAAAGCTAAATGGATAGATCATACTCATGTAGCCACATTATATGAAGGAACATCAAATCATCACAGGAATATGGGGTCGGTGAAGATGGAGAGGAGAAAACAAAAAATGGTGATTTTCTAAAATACAGGCAATTAGAATTATAGATGTTTAATGATGATCACCAGCTAGAGTTTATCTCCCTTTTCATTAACAAGCCGTATGGTTTATTTTTCAAAAACACTAAACATTTTTATGGTGCAGCCAGTCCATTATTTCAAGAATAACGAGACACTGGAAGACAAAATTATAGCAGCCTTTTCAAGATGAAGCCCCATTTAAATGAAAGCAAATCAGACAGTGTAATAACAAACAAAAAACAAAAGTGGGTTTACGAAAATGAACATACTAGATTCAGTCACCAGGCTTTGTGACTTGTCATTTGATGCAATGAGTGAACATAGGCAGCAAGGCTGTTATAGTGTGACCTGAACCTGGAGATTATTATAAGACAAATGTACAATAAGTAAGGAAAGCATAGTAGTATTTTCAGAAAAGTATGAATTTGTTTTGGGATATGTATCCTCCACTAAAACTACAACCCTTGTTGTATCCAAAATCAATTAACCAGAATTTGGAAAAAAGACTACTTAACATCACAAAAAAACATGTTGAAGAAAAAAAACATTTTATTGACTGGATCCTTGTTTATGTTCCAGGAATCAAGATTTTAAAATTTATTTGCAACAACATGAAGGAAAAACAGGCTTTTAATGAGTAATGATGTGATTAACTCTTTATTGGCATCATACACATCTGAGGAAGAATGAATCTGTGCTGTGTGTGTGTTTGTGTTTACTAGACCAGAAGACCAGAAGAGAAGAGAAGAGAAGAGAAGAGAGAGAGAGAGAGCATTAGGCCTAAGGGCACATCATTATTAGAGGCTGGCTTCCCTCCCTCTCTCTCTCTCTCTAACAGGCTTTCTCTCATCCAATCACAGGGGCGGTCGAAGGACAAACAGTGAGCCAACCAGAGTACAGCAGCTTCAGTACAGGGCAGTACAGTTTCTAATTATGCCATGATACAAGGCAATATTCCTCTCTAAATATTCCCACATAAATTCATTTCACAACCCATTAAAGATACAGCGGGTGAGATCATTTACATCACCGTGTCCCAGTACAATACAGCACGATGCCGACTTTTACAGCGCCGCCAAATGTGCCAAGTCCCCCCGGTTGAACGGCAACCTGGTAGGCATTAACTCAACATAATGTCTCACAAATTAAAGTATTGCTGGTGCTACCACCACGGCGTCAGATAAATGTGCTCTATTAGGAGGCCCCAAGCTGTGAGCAAAACAATTGATTGCTTGTTTGTGTTTTCATATGGCGTCCGCAAACATGCAGAGTGATGGATGAGAGCCCGCCATCTCAAGTTGCTGTTAGTCGATTGCTGTTGGTGATTTTCTCCCCTTCCTCTAATAGGAGAGTTGCTCAGTCCACGCACACACTCTTTATATTTTCTTTATTGAGGCTGTAGGAAGACTGAGAGGGAGAGACAGTGCAGACGGGGCTGATGGGGGTTGAACCGTGGCCAATAAGGGCAGAGGTGATTGCAGAGCCAGCAAGGTGTTGACTGCAGTAATGTTCACAGCACAGGACTTCATGTCCAGTTTCTAATTGCTGCTGGTGCCAGATTGAATTTTTATTTTTCTATTTTTAGATGTGATCCATTTCTGTATCAAACACATTTCAGTTGCTCTTACAGTATGAGCCAGTGTGTAAAACAGAGTCTAAACAGAGTCTCCCTGAATAACAATTACTGTAAATAAAGCTATTTGGCTTTCTTTGCATTGTTGTGTTATGGTCCAACATGCTAACACTGGCTCAGTGAAACTGCTGTGAGTGCAATAACAAATGTCTCTGGAGAAAAAAACGGATACATTCAGAATGTTACATTCCACATAAACATATGTTTCAATGTATTTGTTACACATCTAACATGGTAATAAAGAAAGATCTGTGTCTCACCATTTGTGTCTCATTTGAAACAACTGAACACTTTCAACTGTAGCTCCCACTGACAAAAATGTTAACTCATCACAATTTTGTAATTTTATCCAAAATATCATCCAAGGACAATGCAGGCAGGGATTCAGTGTCATTGTAATTTGTCATTACCTTCCAAACAGTCCAGTATCTCTAACCATAACCAAGTGTTGCTGAACCCTAACTTTGACCACACTGCTGTTGCCATGCATGGATACTGTAAAGTGAGACTTTGTTGGTGATGGACTTGAATGGGATTGAATGTAATATCTGCAGAATCATCCAGGATAAACCTTCTTGTCTAGTGAAGGCATTGCTTCCAAAACAACCCACATGAGGGGTTTCTGATTGGGCGCCCCAATCGGCAGCACATCACGGTCAACAAATACTCGTGGATAGATGATATGAACAATATATGAAAACAATACATGCAATGGTTATCGTTTGGATACATTTAAGCAAGTAATAGTACTTGGACAAGGTTAAGAAAAGTTGTGGTCATGGTTAAAAGGAACCAACGATGAGAGTTGGTAGGAGACGCAAACAGCCATCTTTAAGCATTCGATAAGAATTCTGCTCTTTTTCTGGTGAAGAAATCTTAACAAAGATTGTGTCAGATCAAACCTGTGACCTTTTGGTTCCCTCCTCTTACATGCGGAGATCATGAGAAGGGTCTGTGTTTTTAATTTCAGTATGTGATCTAGTTCTGAATACCTACATGAAACTGTAATCATCCACTTCAATCATTTGTATTTACCAACTCAGACGTGTAATCTGATTATGCTCATTTTTTAATGGGCAGCACTGTCTTTAAACCAGTTTAGCTTAGAGATAATTTACTAAGTACATTAAGTCATTTTACTATTCTTACTGTTATCAACTACATCAGTGATTTAGTTAGATTAGAAACAAGCAAACAAAAAACAATAACCCATTAAATCATTACGACCTTTAAATGTATGTTGAGACAGTTAGGGTCTCGAGAAACAATTTTACTTTCATCTTTCATCACACAAGCAGCCTCATATTTCAGATGGCGGCTATCACATTTGGTTTAGTATTAACAAGTTGACTGAAATGTTGTTTGTGCAAACACCATCTTCCATCAGTGTCTCTTGGTTGAACAGAATTATTACTGTAATCAGGAGGCTGCTGCTGTGAGTCCAGGTGAGAGCAAGCCAGGTCTCAGTGAGGATATCACTGCATTAATTGATGTTTAGCTCGATCAGTCTCATAGGTGGTGATTGCAGGTGCAGCAGCAGAAATGATGAGAATGCCCTCCCATTGCTCTTTGCCATTACTCACTTCCACCACCACCATCATCCCACCCCAAACCCCTCACACACCTCTGCCCAGTAGTAAATACAAATATGGGTAAACCATGACCTCCAGTGTGTGATCATCATTAGGCACACAACTACAAATATGAACAAGTCTGTCAAGTCTATTATATTTTTAACTCTCTTAACAGCAACCTTCCTTAAATAAAGCAGCAGTTTTGTATATCTTACTACCTCTTAGAAAGAGTAAAAGGATTTATACCATGAAGGTTCATGTCAGCTTAAAATCATGAGTAAATCCAATTTTGCCAGCCCTTGTTTAAACACAGCTTATAAAAAATAGAAAGAAAAGGATGCATATGAAGTATAACCGGTAGCAGGTTTCCATGCAGTGGATGCTAAGTCTCCCGCTGTAAACTGGGTGTTTTATCTTGGGGAAGCAAGCAGCCAAGAGGATGCCTGGCTGCAACACCAGCCAAGGCGGCTAATTACATTTTCCATCTTGACAAGAAAGGAGGATTCCTTCCTATGTTATTAATCATAATGAGGGGAATATAATAAGCTATCATACATCATGCTGTTGACAGTCGTAGTTTGCCATTTGCAAGCCCAAGCATTCTTCTTCTTGTAATGGCTGTAAAGTGAATTAATGTACAGTAAAATAATCCATTATCAATTGTGGATGAGATTTAAGGCCTTTCAGCCTCACCCTTCAAAAATGTTTTTTTTTTCAAGTATGTGTATGAGAAACTATTTTGCATTAGCTCATGACATTTTGAAGGAAAAAACATACCAGATACCCTGTTTTAATGAAAAAATAACTATATATGTAATTATAATTGTATGGAAGTTATCTACTAAATGTTTACTGTCAACGTATTTCACACTCACTCATTGTCAACCGTTAACCCTGTGTACAGGGTCACAGGGGGACTGGAGCCAATCGCGGGGTACACCCTGGACAGGACACCGGTCCATCGCAGGAACAACCATTCACACTCACACCGATGAACCTGCATATATTTGGACTGTGGGGGGAAGATGGAGCACCGAAAAAATAGCCACGCAGACACAGGGAGAACCTGCCAACTCAACACAGAAAGGCCAGGCACGATTAAGGATTAAACACCGGACCTTCTTGCTATCCGCTGCGCCACTGTGCTGCCTAAATGCTTTCGTTTCTCTACAATATTCAGTCATGCAACTTAAGCATGATTAGGTTATTTGGGGTTAAAACAATTTAAATGTGAAATGGTGTAGTGGATAAGACATGTGCCTGGTGTGTGGGGGACTGGGGTTTGAATCCAACTGTAGCCTAGAGCTTTTTAGCCTCTTTTAGCTCATGTCTCAAGGTTCTCGTTAAACCTGTTTAAAGCAGCAACAGGTATCTGTTTTCAGCATTAAAAAAAAGGCCACTGTGCCCTACCTAAGCAGACCTACCTAAGCAAAGTTAGTCACAGTTGAAAAAAGCTGAACACATGTTTTTTTCAGGAGTTTTTTGGAGACCAAACCAGAACTAAAATGAGACTGATTATACTAATGTATATTATTTACACTCATCATATAAAATAAAGACAACTCTGTGTTTACTGGATGTGCAAGTAAGCATTTTTTTGCTAAGTTGTTACATATCAGGGGTGTGTGTCTATAACTGTGCCATCAGACCAAACACAAAGTTTGGGGCTGTGCGATTATATACAAAGTCAATGCAAAGACACAGAGCCGTGAGAGGAGGTGCTGCTGGCTAGATAATGTATGTCAGATGTATTTTTGTTGAAATTCTCTTCATTCACTGACAGCAATCAAATAAAGAGATGGTCGTAGCATGTCATTTAATAGGCCTACATGTCTACTTGCCTACCTGCTCGTACTTGCACCTCATTGCACATGAAAATGTGTTTTGGGGGAGTGACTTTTGAAGGAGGCCTAGAGGGAGGGGTTAGGATTTTTTTCTGTTGGATCCCTGCTGGTTTCTCCAAGGTTACCCACCTTTAAGGCAAATGAAAGCAATTGGTTAATTTAAGATACCCTGATTTTTCGAGTCAGCATTTTGCTGAGGTATAGGATACCTGTGCACCAATCAGGATTGAACAATATTTGAATCAAAAGTTAATGACAGTTGTTTCAATGTTAGCCTGTGTTGCCAGGCCACTAAGGTTAAATCTTTCCCCAAATTTTGTATTATTCATTTAACTGCTGCTTGTATAATCATGCCTATTTAATGTTATAGATACATTCTAAAGTCTACTTGCCTACCTTGAAATCAAGTTTTCAGGACTTTTAAGAAAAAAAGAGGGACTATGGTTAAAGTCAAGTTGTATGGTAACCACTTCCCTGATCACCTTGCGTTTCCTTGCACTATATTGTATGAGTAAGTCCTGCATTTTCTAAATGTTGTTATCCAGTAGTTGTTGTTAAGTAGATTCATATAAACTTAAGTTGTAGGAGATTTCTGTATGCATGCATGTGTGGTGTTCACTTGTGTCTGCAAAACTGTTTTTGTCTTATGTCTGATGTTGAAGTTGACAGTAAACTGCGAACAGCAAGCTATATTTCTTCTTCTGTTGTCAACCCTGACATTTCTGAATCAACTAGGGGAAACCGATTCTATCACTGTGTTTAATAACGGAAAGAAAAATGAAAAGTTCCTGAAGGTAGCTATACCTCCTTATCGGCTATCTGAAGAGAGAAAAAGCACTGCAATGCAATTTATCGTGACTGAGCTCACAGCCCTCGGGCTTCTCCTTTGAAAGAAAAAAAATCTCACAAAGTAACAAATAGGAAATAAAGGCATTTCTCCTCTTAATCCTCCTCACCTTAAGGGTGAAAGACACAGGTTAAAGACTTCACAGCCGTACACAAGCGAGATAAGGTCCAAGTCAGTCTGGTCAGTATTTCGATAACTTCATCAATCCTGGAAAATGCAATCAGATACAGTCCAACTCTAAGCTGCCGTTGCCCTCTGGGAGGCTGAGAGAGACATTCATTTTGGCGAGGAGGGCACACAATCTCCCTTTTGTAATTAAGAGTACCCAAATAAACTGTGTGTGTTACCCCTGAAGTGGAACAGTTAGAAACAAATAAAAGGCTAATGAAGAAATGATTGCTCTTTTGCAGGAAGAGGGAAGAGAAGGAATCTTAAATCAGTGAGCTGCATGTATGCAGCACTCCAATCTCACTTTGCTTGTGGTTGAAATCAGTTAAAAACAAACAACGACTGGTGTGTGCATGTACGTGCATGTCTTTGTGCCTTATTTAAGAGCCTATTGAACTGAAAGGTGTCTGTGTGTCTCTGGAAATGGAAAGGTAGGTAGATAGATATAGGTGTTTATCAGTGTCTCCTGTGTTGACTGTTCTTAAAACAACAAACGATTGCTGATCTGACATTTCTATGGTTAACGACTGGTTAAAGTGACTGGTGAGTAGTCTCATGTAAAATCAGTGGAATCCCCCATTCCACTGATTTTACATGAGACTACTCACCTTGTAAGAAAAAAGTGAAAATGGGTGATGTGTCTCTGCATGAGCTTTGTCAAATCTTCCAAAAATAACACTACTGCTGTCATGAGGGTTATCTCCGCTTGACCTTGGTGATAACATATTTTTAACAAAAATCCTGCCTAAGGCAAGGCAAAGCAAGGCAAGGCTGGGTGTGGAAAGTGAACATGCAGCACTTGCCCTCCCTCATTTACCACCACTGA